CACACCCCCATCATGAGGTGTTGGCCCCCCAGGTCTCCATGTTTTGTGTGGGACACGGATATATTCTTCTATGGCTGGAGGTCTCCAAAATTTCTGGACCCCAACACCCAAAGGGGGGACCCCTGTTTTCTAGTTTTCTGCCTTCAGGGGAGCCACTGTAACCAGCGGGAGTGATGACCCAACCCCCAAAAATGCCCCATCATTGGTGTCAGTGGGACACGGAATATGCCCCATCATTGGTGTCAGTGGGGGAAATAGTGCCCCATCATTGGTGTCAGTGGGAGGGGATAGTGCCCCATCATTGGTGTCAGTGGGCAGGAATAGTAGTCCCCATCATTGGTGTCAGTGGGAGGAATAGTGCCCCATCATTGGTGTCAGTGGGAGGAATAGTGCCCCATCATTGGTGTCAGTGGGAGGAATAGTGCCCCATCATTGGTGTCAGTGGGAGGAATAGTGCCCCATCGTTGGTGTCAGTGGGAGGAATAGTGCCCCATCGTTGGTGTCAGTGGGAGGAATAGTGCCCCATCGTTGGTGTCAGTGGGAGGAATAGTGCCCCATCGTTGGTGTCAGTGGGAGGAATAGTGCCCCATCGTTGGTGTCAGTGGGAGGAATAGTGCCCCATCGTTGGTGTCAGTGGGGGGAATAGTGCCCCATCGTTGGTGTCAGTGGGGGGAATAGTGCCCCATCGTTGGTGTCAGTGGGAGGAATAGTGCCCCATCGTTGGTGTCAGTGGAAGGAATAGTGCCCCATCGTTGGTGTCAGTGGGAGGAATAGTGCCCCATCGTTGGTGTCAGTGGGAGGAATAGTGCCCCATCGTTGGTGTCAGTGGGAGGAATAGTGCCCCATCGTTGGTGTCAGTGGGAGGAATAGTGCCCCATCGTTGGTGTCAGTGGGAGGAATAGTGCCCCATCGTTGGTGTCAGTGGGAGGAATAGTGCCCCCCATCGTTGGTGTCAGTGGGAGGAATAGTGACCCCATCATTGGTGTCAGTGGGAGGAATAGTGACCCATCATTGGTGTCAGTGGGAGGAATAGTGCCCCATCGTTGGTGTCAGTGGGAGGAATAGTGCCCCATCGTTGGTGTCAGTGGGAGGAATAGTGCCCCATCGTTGGTGTCAGTGGGAGGAATAGTGCCCCATCATCGGTGTCAGTGGAAGGGATAGTGCCCCATCATCGGTGTCAGTGGAAGGGATAGTGCCCCATCATCGGTGTCAGTGGAAGGGATAGTGCCCCATCATCGGTGTCAGGGAGGGATAGTGCCCCATCATCGGTGTCAGTGGAAGGAATAGTGCCCCATCATCGGTGTCAGTGGGAGGAATAGTGCCCCATCATTGGTGTCAGTGGGAGGAATAGTGCCCCATCATTGGTATCAGTAGGAGGAATAGTGCCCCATCATTGGTGTCAGTGGGAGGAATAGTGCCCCATCATTGGTATCAGTGGGAGGAATAGTGCCCCATCATTGGTGTCAGTGGGAGGAATAGTGCCCCATCATTGGTGTCAGTGGGAGGAGTATTGTTCGTAGTTTCTATCAGTGGGAGGAATGAATGTCAATGATGGATAAGTGGACATGTCGGGGGGGGGGGACCTCCTATCAGGTTCGGGGTACAGATCCCACCTCTCCGTGTTCTGAGGACTGAAACCCCAAACGTTATGTTGTCACCAGACCAGGAAGTGATGGGAAATCTCTACCATGGGGACACCGGACCGGAAATAACCCTCCCTGACTCCGCCTGTCATAGAAGAGGAGGCGGGGCTGTCATCTCATTATCATAGAGCCCGCCCCCTCCGCCGGTAATAGCGCTCAGTGAGGGAAGGATTCCTGTTCGGTCAGTTCTGTTATATAAAGAGCCCCTCCCCCACACACCGTACCGTGCGGTAATCACCTCCGATCTCTCTCCTCCCCGGACTTCCCGCTTCTGCCTCCTCCCACACTCACCGGACAGAGGAAGAGGCGGGGCTATGGGCACCATCTTTGTACACCCGGCTGTGAAGCCCAGCCCTCCCCTAACAAAAGCTGCTGTCCTACTGCGACCAATCAGAAAATCCGTCTGCGATCATGTGACCCGGGAACCAGAGAGGGAGGAGAGCCACGTCCGCCAATCACCGCTTTTTGTGGATGTGAGCCCCGCCCACTAAACTCACCTCTACCAGACTACGCCCCCCGTGCCAGAGCTAGGACTGAATGAGGGGGAGGAGCCTGACTGACTGCCCTTCCAATACACTACCCACCTACCTACACAGAACTACCTACCCACCTACCTTCACAGAACTACCTACCCACCCACACAGAACTACCCACCTACAGAACTACCTACCCCTACCCACAGACTAGACCCATCCACACAGAACTACACTACCCACCTACCTTCACAGAACTACCTACCCATCCACCTACCTTCACAGAACTACCTACCCATCCACACAGAACTACACTACCCACCTACCCACCTACCTACCTACACAGAACTACCTACCCATCCACACAGAACTACACTACCCACCTACCCACCCACCTACCTACACAGAACTACACTACCCACCTACCTACCTTCACAGAACTACCCACCTACCTTCACAGAACTACCTACCCATCCACACAGAACTACACTACCCACCTACACACCCACCTTCACAGAACTACCTACCCATCCACGAACTACATACCACCTACACACCCACCTACCTACAGAACTACCTACCCACCCACCTACCTTCACAGAACTACCTACCCACCTTTACAGAACTACCTACCCACCCACCTACCTTCACAGAACTACCTACCCACCCACTACACAGAACTACCTACCCACCCTACCCACCTACATTCACAGAACTACCTACCCACCTACCTTCACAGAACTACCTACCCACCTACCTACCCATCCGTCTACACAGAACTACCTACCCACCTACCTTCACAGAACTACCTACCCACCTACCTTCACAGAACCCACCTACCTACAGAACTATCTACACCTACCCATCCTACCCACCCTACCTTCACAGAACTACCTACCCATCCAATACATAGAAGTACCCACCTACTCACCTATCTACATAGAACTACCCACCTAACACCCATCCTACTACCCAGCTACATAGAACTACCCACCCTACCACCCATCTACTAGAACTACACCCACCCGTACTACACAGAACTACCTACCCCCGTCCAACTACATAACCCCTACATAGAACTACCCACCTACTACCCACCTATCTGCATAGAACTACCCACCTACCTACACCTACCCATAACTACATAGAACCCATACCCGTCTACCTACCCACCCAGCTACATAGAACTACTACCCACCTACATACTACACCCCAACTATCACTACCCACCTACCCGTCACCTACCCATCTACATAGAACTACCCACCTACCTACCTAACTACATAGAACTACCCACTAACTACCCATCTACATAGAACTACCCACCTAACTACCCATCTACATAGAACTACCCACCTACTACATAGAACTACCCATCCTACTACCCATACATAGAACTACCCACCATAACTACCCATCCTACTCACCCCAGTCTACATAGAACTACCCACCCTACTACATAGAACTACCCATCCTACTTACCCGTCTACATAGAACTACTACCACACCTAACTACCCGTCTACATAGAACTACCCACCTAACTACCCATCTACATAGAACTACCCACCCTACTCACCTACATAGAACTACCCACCCAACTATCAACCCTACTCACCCGTCTACATAGAACTACCCATCCTACTCACCCGTCTACATAGAACTATCCACCTAACTACCCATCCTACTCACCCATCTACATAGAAACTACCCACCCTACTCACCCATCTACAGAGAACTACCCATCCTACTCACCCATCTACAGAGAACTACCCATCCTACTCACCCATCTACATAGAACTACCCACTAACTACCCATCCTACTCACCCATCTACATAGAACTACCCACCTAACTACCCATTCTACTCACCCATCTACATAGAACTACCTATCCTACTCACCCAGTTACACAGAACAGCCCACCTACCTACCCATCCTAACTCCCCATCTACACAGAACTACCCACCTAACTATCCCTACTATCCACCCAACTACATAGCACTACCCACCTTGCTACCCATCCACATGGAATTAACCACCTAACTACCCAACCTATCCACCCAACTACACAGACTAGCACCAGTGGCACAGCTCCCGATGTACACAGGGCGATGTCTATTGGCACACTGACTTCTGAAGGTCGGTGCTCCCTGTGACTGTACGTGCCGCCTGTTGCTGCCCTCTGTTGGCGTGTTACTTGTTGATACCGCCTTGTATGGGTGACACAGAATTGCAGAGCAGGAAGGTCACTCCGACTGAGATGGAGAACCCCATTATATTTAATGAAGAACAAAACATAAACCACCAACAACAAAGGAATACATAGAAGACGATGGAAGGAAATACACGAAACACCAAACTCCCCGTCCTGACAAAACATCGCATAGAAAACAAAGTCTGGAAAATTCCAGAGATTTCCATTCTTGGCCAGCAAGCTCCCATTGAAGGGTGAGAAGTGACCACAAAACTCAGATTCAGATTCTGAATACTTTTTTAATCTCGAAGAGAAATTATTAAAACAGAAGAGGAAGTTCTTGGCTGCGGAACCCTCAGCAGTCATCGGAGCTCCGGCTGGAGAAGACCTAGAAGTCGGCACAGGAGATCCACTGGATCACTTAGTTCAATGGGCGGAGCCATCGGGGGTGTCACTGCTTCTCCTCCTCCTGGAGTTCTTGGGTCAGATCGGCCAGGCACCTCTCGATGTCTTCTCTGCCGTGGTAGACGCGGTCCAGGCCTCGGGGAATGTTGCGGCAGGAGGACAGGTCCAGGTGGGTGAGGGCGCGGCAGTGGAGGAGGACATCTCTGCAGAGAAAAGGAGGGTCAGTACTCTGCGGGGGGTGCAGACTATCACGACAAATATCTACACTGCGGACTGATCACCTGACAGCAGAGGGCGTGGCTCTGGTCCATGAGAGGTTTAGAAACTGCAGTTTGTCATTGCCGAGAGCGTCATTGCCGAGAGCGTCATTGCCGAGTGTGTCATTGCCGAGAGCGTCATTGCCGAGAGTGTCATTGCCGAGAGCGTCATTTCCGAGAGCGTCATTGCCGAGAGCGTCATTGCCGAGAGCGTCATTGCCGAGAGCGTCATTTCCTGCACCACTTCCTCTGCTGAGATTATACAAGGCCTCCGCCAAATCCTCCTCTGTGTATCCCTGACCTTTCAGGTCCAGTTCCTGCAGGCTGTGCCGCCATTTACTGGTCAGCAGATGGGAGCCAGAAACGATCGAGGAGGACACCATACGGGTGGATGACAAACCCAGGTAGAGCTGCTCCACATCTGATGAAGGCAAGCAAAGGTTAGATCCGGAGAACCCAACTGAAGTCTACGTACAGTGTGCGAGAGAGGAGAGGATGAGAGAGGAGAGGAGAGAGGAGAAGACAAAAGAAGAAGAGAGAAGACAAGAGAAGAGGAGAGAAGAGATGAGAAGAGAGAGGAGAGAGAAGAGAAGAAAGAAGAGATGAGAAGAGAGAACAGAAGCAAAGAGAGAAGAGAAGAAGAGAGAAGAAAAGTGAAGAGAAGAAGAGAGAAGACAAGAGAGGAGGGAGGAGACAAGAGGGAAGGGAGGAGAGAAGAGGATGGAGGTAATAAAAAATGAAATATGTGGTCAGTTTGGCGAATGCAGTCCTCAATGAGGCCCAGGTCCTGTGTGCCCAACGACAACCCACCAGCACCTGTCCACTCAAAGCTCTGAACATCCCACCCTGGAAGAACTCAACAAAAGGGAAGAAACGCTTCCATGGAGAACGGTGTCACTGGATGGAGGAATAAGAAAATACGATTTTTGAACTTACCATAAAACATTTTTCTTGAGGGACACATCGAGGAACTCAGGATGTACTTCCTGCGGATGTAGATGGAGAAGGCTGGGATCCCTCCACAGATCTCCTGCGTTGAAGAAGGGGCACGCTCTGGCCACCCATGGAGTTTTAAGTCACAGGAGCGAGTCCAAAGAGAAAAATTCAGGTACCGCTTGGATGAATCATCAGCATCCCATGCAAGACACAAGTCCAGATACTTGTAGCAAGCCCTCATAACAAGGCTCCAGACGTGCTCCAGCAGCGGTGGAAGGAGACCTCTTGAGGAAGTCTACCCATTATGGGATGACTAGACAGATCAAGCTGCCAACACAGAAAACCAGACCAGACACTTTACTCTGGGATTTAAGAAGAGACTCCAGCTGCCTGTTGGCGGAAACCCAAAATGTGAGGTCACCCTCAACCAGCCTGGTGGTATTCCTGTCTAGGTGGGTCACTGGTGTATCCACGGTTGGAGTAGGCCAACGAGTTACAAATTTCTTTTAAATAGTCCTGACACTCTCAGGCGGGGCCCGGGACCCATGAAAGTGTTTCCAGTCTGCAGAGAGGAATGTCTCAAATAATAACTGTAGCGGAAAGGTCTTCGCAGATGTTGGAGTTCTGAAAGACTCGAGGCCTGGAAGAGCAGACCGATCCTCCAGATGCCGGATCAATAAAGTCTGAAACAACCTCCTGTAAATCTCAGCGGCAGGAGACTGCAGTGCCTCAAAAACAGTCTCTTCAGAGATAGACTGCTGTGACTCTAAATGCGTCAAATATGGAGACAGGGGCCACGGGCCCAGCTAGATTTAAGGACTCAGAAGGGTCAGAGAGACTCTGGGACGGCACTGGAGCTCACTTACAGCTTCTGCTGCAAAAATGCAAACTGTGGAGTATAAACAGTTAAGAAGTCCTACGAGGATTTGTAGGAAGACTCAGGCTCACCCAATGGAGCTGAGGAAGACTCTGATTGGGCTGAGATGTCCCAGGTTCTGCGCACCAGTCCCTCATGTGGATACCAGGTAAATACCGATAGAACCACTAGTAGAGTATGGGTTGAGGTCACCTGTTGCAGTGGGACTATTCCCTCTAGGTCATGATGTCCACACAGCACTAATGCAACTAACCCCAATGTGGGGCAAGGACTCAGCTACTCACAAGCCTGGGCAGCTGGAACTAATGGGGGTTAATGGTGGCCAGAAGTTACCCAGTCACTGTAGATGGGCAAAAGAAATGGACTGGAGACCGGAGATCCACAAGGTTCTTCAGGAGCTAGGACAGTAGTGGGATGGTGATTTCTCCAAACTGAATGGCAGGAAAGAGTGCGTGTTGTACATGTAGTTCCACCCAGTGGATGAAGTCAGTGCTTGGCCCCTTGGCCTTAACACCTACCAGCAAGAATCTGAAAAGCTGCCCAGCGGTGCAAGCAGTGACGTAGCTTCTAGTGCTTTAGCCCGAATGGCCTTACTCACAAAGTGAGTCTTCAGAGTCAGGATCCATCCGGGGCCGTACCTTGGCTCTGGCCCCGGAAAGTGCTCCATGGCTAACTAACCAGTACACTCAGGTCTGAAAAAGCTCCACAATGCAGAGCCCGGTGCCGGAAGGTCACATTCCAGGCTAGCCTCACATGTCCAGCCTAGTGTGGTCCACGTATGGACTCCAAGGCTGAGGAAAAGCCGATCTGGAGTGCTATGTAGAGATCCGCTCAGGCAGCCGTGTCAGTGGGAAATCTTGACTGAAGTCACAGATGAAACAAATCCCACGAAGAGGAGGCCAGCTAAACGTAGACTCTCCAGAAGAGCTGAGGAGAAGGTGTCCAGTCTCCTGGGACACTAGCAAAAAACTGAGGGATGCTGGGTAGAGGGAGCTGGCTTACTACTGTTCTGTTTGCCAGTGTCCTAACTACCTGAAGGTGGCAGTATAACCCGACTGTTTCTGAATTCCCGTGTGTCTGTTAACCACTTGCTGCCCAGCGTGTGTATATAGATGTCCTGGGGGGGTACACCAGGATCATGGCTGGTGCTGCTTTGTGAAGTCCGTGATAGGCTTTCCCATAAAAGTGATCGAAGCCACTTGGCACCTACACCCCCCTCCCACCCAGTGATGTATTTAGCTCCTGTGCTGCCCTAGGCAAGACTAAAATTGGGCACCCCCCACCACCACCAAAACCCTCCCCCACCCACCCCCCCAGCACTAAAATTGGATGCTCCCACCACCAGCACCCTTTGGCCCAACCTCCACTAAAATTGGGCACCCCCCACCAGAACACTCCACCACCCACTCCCCCAGCACTAAAAGTGGACGCCCCCCACCACCAGCACCCCTTGGCTCCGCTGCCACTAAAATTGGGCACCCCCCACCACCACCAAAACCCTCCCCTACCCACCCCCCCAACACTAAAATTGGATGCTCCCACCACCAGCACCCCTTTGGCCCCACCGCCACTAAAATTGGGCACCCCCCCACCACCACCAGAACACTCCACCACCCACTCCCCCAGCACTAAAAGTAGACGCCCCACCGCCCCACTAAAATTGGGCACCCCCCACCACCAGAACCCTCCACCACCCACCCCTCCAGCACTAAAATTGGGCACCCCCCACCACCAGAACCCTCCACCCCCCATTCCCCCAGCACTAAAAGTAGATGCCCCACACCACCAGCACCCTTTGGCCCCCACCACCACCCTCCACCACCCACTCCCCCAGCACTAAAATTGGAGGACCAGCACCACCAGGTCAGGGAAGCAGCTGAATAAACCTGACCTGTGCTTGGTTAGCTGCAGTGGAGGACAAGGGAGACCTTGGGGGTGTAAAAAGGCACATTCATCTCCCATATCCAAGATGGCAGCCCAGGGGACCCGCAGTGGTACAAAGAACCGGCTGCAGGAACACAGCACCAGCAAGTACCTGATTTTGTGATGCCAGAGGCTTCATTATTTGCGGTTGCTGACCTTTGATTTAGAAACAAGGACTAAAGTTCCTCTTCAGAAGAGCGGGTGATGTGTGGCAGAAGCTTCTAAAATTGGGCAGAAAATTTCAGGATAGCACAAACCCCCCCCCCCTTCCCCAAATGACCCCTTTTTGGAAAGTTGACACCCCAAACTACTTACTGTGAGGCATGTTGAGTCCATGGAAGAATATTTTTTTTTTAACCGCAAGTTTTTGAAGAATGACAAAATTTGTCAGTTAAATGACATATTGCTCACACAAGCCATGGATATATGTGGAATTACACCCCAAAATCCATTCTGCTACTTCTCCTGAGTATGGGGGTCCCACATGTGAGAGACTTGGGCAGTCTAGCCAAGTACAGGACCCCAAAATCCAATGACCACCTTCAGGCTTCTAAAGGGCTTTATCTCCAAAGACATGCTGGGAGGTGGATTGGCTCCTGTCTACATTGGCCCTAGTATGTGTATGTATGAATGTGAGTCAGGGACCTTAGATTGTACGCTCCTCGGGGGCGGGGCCTGATGGGAATGTACAATATACATGTAAAGTGCTGCGTAAATTGGCGGTGCTATAGAAGTACCTGAAATAAATAAATATATTTCCTTATTACACTTCCTGACTACCTATCACAGTTTCGGAGACCCTGAAATGCCAGGATTTGATGAACCCCCCCCCCCCCTCCCCCTTCCCAAATGACTCCAGTCCGGACTGGAAGGGGGGGGAAAGTGTCCGGACTGGAAGGGGGTGAAAGAGTCCGGACTGGAAGGGATGGGGGGAGGGAGTGTGTCCGGACTGGAAGGGGGGAGTGTCCGGACTGGAAGGGGGGGGGAGAGTGTCCGGACTGGAAGGGGGGAAAGTGTTCGGACTGGAAGGGGGGAAAGTGTTCGGACTGGAAGGGGGTGAAAGAGTCCGGACTGGAAGGGATGGGGGGAGGGAGTGTCCGGACTGGAAGGGGGGAGTGTCCGGACTGGAAGGGGGGGGGAGAGTGTCCGGACTGGAAGGGGGGGGAAAGCGTCCGGACTGGAAGGGATGGGGGGAGGGAGTGTTCGGACTGGAAGGGGGGGAAAGTGTCCGGACTGGAAGGGGGGGAAAGTGTCCGGACTGGAAGGGGGGGAAAGTGTCCGGACTGGAAGGGGGGGAAAGTGTCCGGACTGGAGGGGGGGGGGGGGGGAAAGTGTCCGGACTAGAAGGGGGGAAAAGTGTCCGGACTGGAAGGGGGGAAAGTGTCCGGACTGGAAGGGGGGAAAGTGTCCGGACTGGAAGGGGGGAAAGTGTCCGGACTGGAAGGGGGGGAAAGTGTCCGGACTGGAAGGGGGGGAAAGTGTCCGGACTGGAAGGGGGGGAAAGTGTCCGGACTGGAAGGGGGGGAAAGTGTCCGGACTGGAAGGGGGGGGGAAGTGTCCGGGACTGGAAGGGGGTGAAAGTGTCCGGACTGGAAGGGGGGGGAAAGTGTCCGGACTGGAAGGGGGGAAAGTGTCCGGACTGGAAGGGGGGAAAGTGTCCGGACTGGAAGGGGGGAGTGTTCCGGACTGGAAGGGGGGGAAAGTGTCCGGACTGGGAAGGGGGGGAAAGTGTCCGGACTGGAAGGGGGGGAAAGTGTCCGGACTGGAAGGGGGGGGAGTGTCCGGACTGGAAGGGGGGGAAAGTGTCCGGACTGGAAGGGGGGGAAAGTGTCCGGACTGGAAGGGGGGGGAAAGTGTCCGGACTGGAAGGGGGGGGAAAGTGTCCGGACTGGAAGGGGATGAAAGTGTCCGGACTGGAAGGGGGGGAAAGTGTCCGGACTGGAAGGGGGGGGGAAAGTGTCCGGACTGGAAGGGGGTGAAAGTGTCCGGACTGGAAGGGGGGGGAAAGTGTCCGGACTGGACTGGGGGGGGGGAAAGTGTCCGGACTGGAAGGGGGGAAAGTGTCCGGACTGGAAGGGGGGGAAAGTGTCCGGACTGGAAGGGGGGGAAAGTGTCCGGACAGGGAGGGGGGGGAGTGTCCGGACTGGAAGGGGGGGAAAGTGTCCGGACTGGAAGGGGGGGGAAAGTGTCCGGACTGGAAGGGGGGGAAGTGTCCAGACAGGGAGGGGGGGAAAGTGTCCGGACTGGAAGGGGGGAAAGTGTCCGGACTGGAAGGGGGGGGGGGAAAGTGTCCGGACTGGAAGGGGGGGAAAGTGTCCGGGGGGAAAGTGTCCGGACTGGAAGGGGGGAAAGTGTCCGGACTGGAAGGGGGGAAAGTGTCCGGACTGGAAGGGGGGGGGAAAGTGTCCGGACTGGAAGGGGGGAGTGTCCGGGAAGGGGGGAAAGTGTGTCCGGACTGGAAGGGGGGAAAGTGTCCGGACTGGAAGGGGGGAAAGTGTCCGGACTGGAAGGGGGGGGGAAAGTGTCCGGACTGGAAGGGGGGGAAGTGTCCAGACAGGGAGGGGGGAAAGTGTCCGGACTGGAAGGGGGGGGAAAGTGTCCGGACTGGAAGGGGGGGAAAGTGTCCGGAAGTGTCCGGACTGGAAGGGGGGGAAAGTGTCCGGACTGGAAGGGGGGGGAAAGTGTCCGGACTGGAAGGGGGGGAAAGTGTCCGGACTGGAAGGGGGGAAAAGTGTCCGGACTGGAAGGGGGGGAAAGTGTCCGGACTGGAAGGGGGGGGAAAGTGTCCGGACTGGAAGGGGGGGGGGGGAAAGTGTCCGGACTGGAAGGGGGGGAAAGTGTCCAGACTGGAAGGGGGGGAAGTGTCCGGACTGGAAGGGGGGGAAAGTGTCCGGACTGGAAGGGGGGAAAAGTGTCCGGACTGGAAGGGGGGAAGAAAGTGTCCGGACTGGAAGGGGGGAAAGTGTCCGGACTGGAAGGGGGGGGGAAAGTGTCCGGACTGGAAGGGGGGGAAAAGTGTCCGGACTGGAAGGGGGGGGGGAAAGTGTCCGGACTGGAAGGGGGGGAGTGGTCCGGAAGTGTCCGGACTGGAGGGGGGGGAAAGTGTCCGGACAGGGGGGGGGGGAAGTGTCCGGACTGGAAGGGGGGGAAAGTGTCCGGACTGGAAGGGGGGGAAAGTGTCCGGACTGGAAGGGGGGGAAAGTGTCCGGACTGGAAGGGGGTGAAAGTGTCCGGACTGGAGGGGGGGGGAAAGTGTCCGGACTGGAAGAGGGTGAAACTGTCCGGACTGGAGGGGGGGGGGAAAGTGTTCGGACAGGAAGGGGGGGAAGTGTCCGGACTGGAAGGGGGGGAAAGTGTCCAGACTGGGAGGGGGGGGGTAAAGTGTCCGGACTGGAAGGGGGGGGGAAGTGTTCGGACAGGAAGGGGGGGAAGTGTCCGGACTGGAAGTGTCGGACTGGAAGGGGGGGGGGGGGGGGGGGGGGGGGAGTGTCCGGACAGGGAGTGGTTTTACCTTTCCTTGAACATGAGTGGCCTGGTGGTGTTACACTGATTGGCACCGGCTGTATTACGCCGGTTTTCTCGCACGGCTGGGGGGGCCCTGGAAGGAGCGGGTTGGAGGAGAGCGTCGTCTCAGTCAAGGTGGATAAGGAGCTCTGGAGAATATAGAGGGGCGCAGGATCCCTAGAATCCTAAAAGGCGCAATACTCGCCAACGCCTGCTGAGTGCGGGTGATGATGATTTTTCACTGCTGGAAGGTGGAAGCGCATTTCTTCGGGAGAAGATTTGTTCTGTTTTTGTACTTTTCTCCTTTATATTCATTTCTGTCATTTATTCATTAATAGTATTGTGATGCAGACAGTGAGGAGGTTTTGCGCTGATATTATATATATTTTCATTGGTTGGTGTATTACACGGGTGCACAGCAGCATACCTCCTTATATTAATATTTCTTTGTGCGCTGGGGTCTGTGATCTACTCAGAAAACTAACACTGCCCCTCCCCCTGAAGACACCATCCCCACCGTGAAACATGGTGGTGGCAGCATCATGTGGTGGGGATGCTTTTTCTTCAGCAGGGACAGGGAAGCTGGTCAGAGTTGATGGGAAGATGGATGGAGCCAAATACGGGGCAATCTTAGAAGAAAACCTGTCAGAGTCTGCAGAAGACTTGAGACCGGGGCGGAGGTTCCCCTTCCAGCAGGGGGTACATCTTCCGGAGGTCAAGTGGTTAACAAACCTCAAGGACACATCCTGAGCCTGTACAGAGGAGCACCCACAGCCAGCAAATTGGGGGGTGCCACAGACCTAGAAGTCCAGGGAGAGCAGACTGTGCCAGCAGGGTGACCCCGGGGCCCTGGAGGCTGAGGCCCACTTCTTACCCCCAGAAATCCCCTCTGCTCCCCATGCTTAGCTCCCTCACACCGGGAATACGGGGGATGTGCTGTGGAGTTGCTCAGATACTGACCAGAACACGGGAGCTCCCACAAGCCCTGCGGTGACACCTTAATACACCCACGAAGGTTCAGAACGCGCAACTTCCTGGAATTTGTCAGCAGCTTCTGGCAGACGTCGTCCTCCATATTAGAGACAAAGTCGGCAAGGCACAGCTCCTGCAGCTGAGGAAACCCCGGGGCACCAGTGGGGTTTTGGGGTTCGGGTTTTGCCAGCCACGGGACGTGTGACAGTCTCAGCACCTGCAATGGAGAACAGAGGAACCTGAGGAGCAAGATCATCACATGACCATCCCAACAGCACCAACTAAAGAGGACCGGTCACCTACAGACACCTCAACACAGTTAATATCTCACTGTAGCGGCATCCTTGGACCCCAATCAGCTGAAAAAGTGGCTGAACCCTCCCTTGGTCACATGACTGAGAGCACTGGGATCCCAGAGCAGCATTGTCTCTCCTACAGTCAGTAAAAACCAGGCAGGCCTCTACTTCAGAGACTCTGTATGGAACGATTCTTCCCTTCCCTGCCTCTTCCTTCCATCGAGGTCTTCTTGGTGTCATGGAGGCCTCTTCTTTCTACCCAGGTCTCCTTCCTGACACCCCTTGTGTGCAGCACATGGCTGTGTTATCTCATTTCCCGCCTTCCCCATTTCCTGCCAACATCACTTCCTGTTTAAATAGTCTTTGCGAACCAGCTTAACAAGTTCATTAGCATTTACAGTGAAATGTGTATTTGCCCCCCCTGATGCTGAATGTTCGCCCCTCACACAGAAACGATCGGTCTAACAATGGAATGTTCGCCCCTCACACAGAAATGATCGGTCTAACAATGGAATGTTCACCCCTCACACAGAAATGATCGGTCTAACAATGGAATGTTCGCCCCTCACACAGAAATGATCGGTTTAACAATGGAATGTTCGCCCCTCACACAGAAATGATCGGTCTAACAATGGAATGTTCGCCCCTCACACAGAAATGATCGGTCTAACAATGGAATGTTCGGTGTAACACTGAGAGACAGAATACAACAACAAATTCAGCAGAAATGCGTCTAACAAATGATGACGGATCTGCATGTTCATGAGGGAAAGAAGGATTTGATCCCCTTCACAAAACATGACTTAGTACTTGGTGGCCAATCCCTTGTTGGCAATCACAGAGGTCAGACGTTTCCTGGAGTTGGCCCCCAGGTTCGCACACATCTCAGGAGGGATTTTGGCCCACTCCTCTTGGCAGATCCTCTCCAAGTCATTAAGGTTTGGTGGCTGACGTTTGGCAACTCGAACTTTCAGCTCCCTCCACAGATTTTCCATCGGATGAAGGTGTGGAGACTGGCTAGGCCACTCCAGGTCCTTAATGTGCTTCTTCTTGAGCCGCTCCTTTGTTGCCTTGGCCGTGTGTTTTGGGTCATTGTCATGCTGGAACACCCATCCACCACCCATTTTCAATGCCCTGGCTGAGGGAAGAAGGTTCTCACCCAAGATTTGAGGGTACATTGTCCCGTCCATCGTCCCTTTGATGCGGTGCAGCTGTCCTGTCCCCTTAGCAGAAAAACACCCCCAAAGCAGAATGTTTCCACCACCATGTTTCACAGTTGGGATGGTGTTCTTGGGTTCATAGGCAGCATTCCTCCTCCTCCAAACACGGCGAGTTGAGTTGATGCCAAAGAGCTGGATTTTGGTCTCCTCTGACCACAACACTTCCCACCAGTCCTCCTCGGCATCATTCAGATGTTCAGTGGCAGACTTCAGACGGGCCTGGACATGGGCTTTCTTGAGCAGAGGGACCGTGCGGGCACTGCAGGATTTCAGTCCTTGTCGGCGTAGTGTGGTACCAATTGTTTTCTTGGTGACTGTGGTCCCAGCTGCCTGGAGATCATTGACCAGATCCTCACGTGTAGTTCTGGGATGATTCCTCACTGTTCCCATGATCATTGACACTCCACGAGGTGAGATCTTGCATGGTGCACCAGACCTAGGGAGACTGACACTTGTTTTGTGTTTCTTCCATTTGTGAATGATTGCACCAACTGTTGTCACCGTCTCACCAAGCTGCTTGGCCATAGTTTGGTAGCCCAGTCCAGCCTTGTGTAGGTCTACCATCTTGTCCCTGACATCCTTGGACAGCTCTTTGGTCTTTGCCATGGTGGAGAGTTTGGAATCTGATGGTTTGATGGCTCCTGTGGACAGGTGTCTTTTATACAGGTAACACAATGAGATTAGCAGCACTCCCTTTAAGAGACTGCTTCTAATCTCAGCTTGTTACCTGTATGAGAGACACCTGGGAGCCAGAAATCCTGCTGAATGATAGGGGATCAAATCCTTCTTTCCCTCATGAACATGCAGATCCGTCATCATTTGTTAGACGCATTTCTGCTGAATTTGTTGTTGTATTCTGTCTCTCAGTGTTACACCGAACATTCCATTGTTAGACCGATCATTTCTGTGTGAGGGGCGAACATTCCATTGTTAGACCGATCATTTCTGTGTGAGGGGCGAACATTCCATTGTTAGACCGATCATTTCTGTGTGAGGGGCGAACATTCCATTGTTAGACCGATCATTTCTGTGTGAGGGGCGAACATTCCATTGTTAGACCGATCGTTTCTGTGTGAGGGGGGCGAACATTCCATTGTTAGACCGATCGTTTCTGTGTGAGGGGGAACATTCCATTGTTAGACCGATCATTTCTGTGTGAGGGGCGAACATTCCATTGTTAGACCGATCATTTCTGTGTGAGGGGCGAACATTCCATTGTTAGACCGATCGTTTCTGTGTGAGGGGCGAACATTCCATTGTTAGACCGATCGTTTCTGTGTGAGGGGCGAACATTCCATTGTTAGACCAATCGTTGCTGTGAGGGGCGAACATTCCATTGTTAGACCGATCATTTCTGTGTGAGGGGCGAACATTCCATTGTTAGACCGATCGTTTCTGTGTGAGGGGCGAACATTCCATTGTTAGACCGATCGTTTCTGTGTGAGGGGGCGAACATTCCATTGTTAGACCGATCGTTTCTGTGTGAGGGGCGAAAATTCCATTGTTAGACCGATCGTTTCTGTGTGAGGGGCGAACATTCCATTGTTAGACCGATCATTTCTGTGTGAGGGGCGAACATTCCATTGTTAGACCGATCATTTCTGTGTGAGGATGCCCAGCTTCTGGATTCTAGATGGTGGATAAATGTATTATTCCGTATATGTTTCCAATATAACAATAATAAAAGGCCCCGGCAGCACACTTGCATCAGTCAGGTGCTCGATCAGCGAACACACGACAAATGCCTGGAATCTGCCAGTGTAGGGTGGGATTCCCCGTTGGTTGCACCTGCTAAGATCAGATCTACTGTAAGAAGTCAATATTTCTGGCCCAACAGCTACTTCTCAGCAGAACTCAGATACAAGGCAGATGGAGGTACAAAGTGTGGTCACCGAATACTTCCTACATATTATGGACTGTGAAGGCAGCTGTGACATCATGTGATTGTGAAATTCTGAGGACCCCCCAGGCAAGGTGCAAGCTCCATTTCTATACAACGTTCAGAAACGCTCATATCCCTTCTTCATGCTGATCCCGCTGGTGAATGTGATGGACCATCATGAGGTTCTTCTATAATCTGACAGAGATGCAAAAAACACAACACTGACAATGCTCCAGCCTGTATAAAGAGGACCTGTATTACCCCCACTCACCTCCAACCGGGGGCAGGAAGCCTGTAATCCTTCAATGGGGAACTGAGAGGTCTTGATTTTCGACCATATGGGGACATTCACCTCCAAAAGCCTCAGATCTGGGCAACAGCCACGCTGTAATCACAATATGGAGACTATTAGAGATATGTAGGAGGGGAAGGCAAAGGGAAGGAGGGGGATAGAAATGGGGAGGGATATATCATGGAGGGGAGATAAGGGAAGGAGGGGATAGAACTGGGGAGGGATATATCATGGAGGGGAGATAAGGGAAGGAGGAGGATAGAACTGGGGAGGGATATATCATGGAGGGGAGATAAGGGAAGGAGGAGGATAGAACTGGGGAGGAATATATAATAGAGGGGAGATAAGGGAAGGAGGAGGATAGAACTGGGGAGGGATATATCATGGAGGGGAGATAAGGGAAGGAGGAGGATAGAACTGGGGAGGGATATATAATAGAGGGGAGATAAGGGAAGGAGGAGGATAGAACTGGGGAGGGAATATATAATAGGGGAGATAAGGGAAGGAGGAGGATAGAACTGGGGAGGGATATATCATGGAGGGGAGATAAGGGAAGGAGGATAGAACTGGGGAGGGATATATAATAGAGGGGAGATAAGGGAAGGAGGAGGATAGAACTGGGGAGGGATATATCATAGAGGGGAGATAAGGGAAGGAGGAGGATAGAACTGGGGAGGGATATATCATGGAGGGGAGATAAGGGAAGGAGGAGGATAGAACTGGGGAGGGATATATCATGGAGGGGAGATAAGGGAAGGAGGATAGAACTGGGGAGGGATATATAATAGAGGGGAGATAAGGGAAGGAGGAGGATAGAACTGGGGAGGGATATATCATGGAGGGGAGATAAGGGAAGGAGGAGGATAGAACTGGGGAGGGATATATCATGGAGGGGAAATAAAGGAAGGAGGAGGATAGAACTGGGGAGGGATATATCATGGAGGGGAGATAAAGGAAGGAGGAGGATAGAAATGGGGAGGGATATATCATGGAGGGGAGATAAGGGAAGGAGGAGGATAGAACTGGGGAGGATATATATCATGGAGGGGAGATAAGGGAAGGAGGGGGATAGAACTGGGGAGGGATATATAATGCAGAGATATAATTCCAGAGGACACACCGCTAGTCCAGCTATGATTGAGTTCATATGAAGGCTGTATGACAGCCACAGTCGCCTGAGACGGGCCCCGTACATCTGCAGGAATCTTTGCACGGCATCGAACTGAACCTATGGAGACAACACACCGTCACTAGAAGACCAACAACAGGTAAGTAGCAGCCGGCAGCGGTCACAGTCCAGCAGTTCCCCATAACTCTGAATGGAAACAAAACACAGAACATTCCCCTGTACCAAGAGCTGCTGATTGTTCCAGAGACGTGTGGAGCCATGCACCATGTACCTTGGAGTATTGCAGGTTGAGGTTCCTCAACTGGGGACAACAACGTCCTATAGACAGCAGGTCATCCTCAGTCACCAGATTACAATGTGACAACGTAAGAGACGACAGCAGTGGGCAGGACTGCGACAAATTCTATAGAAAAACAGAAAAGATCGTCAGAAGGGGAATAAAAGACAAAGACAGACATGTGGGGGAGATGATGGGCCCCTTTCTGAGAGTCAGTGACAGGATGGAGGCCCTGTGGCATCTGGAGACCTTCAGAAAACCACCCTGGCATCCAGGGACAGATAGGGACCCTTGTGGCATCTGGAGACCTTCAGAAAACCACCCTGGCATCCAGGGACAGATAGGGACCCTTGTGGCATCTGGAGACCTTCAGAAAACCACCCCGGCATCCAGGGACAGACAGGGACCCTTGTGGCATCTGGAGACCTTCAGAAAACCACCCCGGCATCCAGGGACAGACAGGGACCCTTGTGGCATCTGGAAACCTTCAGAAAACCACCCTGGCATCCTGGGACAGCCAGGGACCCCTTGTGGCATCTGGAGAACCTTCAGAAAACCACCCTGGCATCCAGGGACAGACAGGGACCCTTGTGGCATTTGGAGAACTTCAGAAAACCACCCTGGCATCCAGGGACAGACAGGGACCCTTGTGGCATCTGGAGAACTTCAGAAAACCACCCTGGCATCCAGGGACAGACAGGGACCCTTGTGGCACCTTCAGAAAACCACCCTGTGGGGACAGACAGGGACCCTTGTGGCATTTGGAGACCTTCAGAAAACCACCCTGGCATCCAGGGACAGACAGGTACCCTTGTGGCATCTGGGCACAAGTGGGGAGGCCCCCATGGCTTCCGGGGGATAAGAGGGAGGACCTGTGGATTCAAGGTATAGATGGGGAGACCACCGACTTTTGAAAACAGGAGGACCTGTGGGGACAGACAGGGGGTCCGTATGGCATCCAGGTACAAGAGTGAGGGCCCAGTAGAATGAGGAGAGATCTGTGGCATTATGGGTAGGTGGGAGGCACCTATTGCTTGTGGAGACAGTTGGGAAGTCCTTATGGTATTCGAGGACAAAAGCAAGGGTTCTGTGACATCTGGGTACAGGTGGGGGAACCCCTCAGCCCCCCCGGGGACAGACTGGAAACAACTGAACTTACCTTTACTACAAAGGAGACAGAACTCTTCCATCGATGAAGGGAAAAGTCAGAGACTTGAGGAAGCCTGGAAGAGACACACTGGATTACAGACGGCAGCAACGAAGGTGAGGACATGGTTGGTCGGTGTAGACCCTGGACAGGGCTATAGAGGTGACTGCTATGTGTACACAACAACGACGTTCACAGCGCTCACCTCACTCTCTTCTATATTTAGTTCATGTATAGGACAATGAAGGAAATCTCACCAAGGCCCTCCCGGCTTTACCCTCTCGTCTTCGTTTCGGATCCAATCGCCTTCGGAAAGCTTGCAGAGAGCAGGTTCAATGGCCGGATGGATTGTAGCTGGTTTTAATATAAGATGTTGTACTAACCATCAAATCTTTTTCTTGGAGTCCACTGAGGGACAAAGGACTTCTTATACCATTGGGTTATACTGCGGCTTACAGGATTGGATGCTGAGGGACAAAGGACTTCTTATACCGTTGGGTTATACTGCGGCTTACAGGATTGGATGCTGAGGGACAAAGGACTTCTTATACCGTTGGGTTATACTGCGGCTTACAGGATTGGATGCTGAGGGACAAAGGACTTCTTATACCGTTGGGTTATACTGCGGCTTACAGGATTGGATACTGAGGGACAAAGGATACTTTACTTGGATACTGAGGGACAAAGGACTTCTTGTACCATTGGGTTATACTGCGGCTTACAGGATTGGATGCTGAGGGACAAAGGACTTCTAATACCGTTGGGTTATACTGCGGCTTACAGGATTGGATACTGAGGGACAAAGGACTTCTTATACCGTTGGGTTATACTGCAGCTTACAGGATTGGATACTGAGGGACAAAGGACTTCTTATACCATTGGGTTATACTGCGGCTTACAGGATTGGATACTGAGGGACAAAGGACTTCTAATACCGTTGGGTTATACTGCGGCTTACAGGATTGGATACTGAGGGACAAAGGACTTCTTATACCGTTGGGTTATACTGCGGCTTACAGGATTGGATACTGAGGGACAAAGGACTTCTTATACCGTTGGGTTATACTGCGGCTTACAGGATTGGATACTGAGGGACAAAGGACTTCTAATACCATTGGGTTATACTGCGGCTTACAGGATTGGATGCTGAGGGACAAAGGACTTCTAATACCATTGGGTTATACTGCGGCTTACAGGATTGGATGCTGAGCGGCTTACAGGATTGGATACTGAGGGACAAAGGACTTCTTATACCGTTGGGTTATACTGCGGCTTACAGGATTGGATACTGAGGGACAAAGGACTTCTTATACCGTTGGGTTATACTGCGGCTTACAGGATTGGATACTGAGGGACAAAGGACTTCTTATACCGTTGGGTTATACTACGGCTGACAGGATTGGATACTGAGGGACAAACGACTTCTAATACCGTTGGGTTATACTGCGGCTTACAGGATTGGATACTGAGGGACAAAGGACTTCTAATACCGTTGGGTTATACTGCGGCTTACAGGATTGGATACTGAGGGACAAAGGACTTCTAATACCGTTGGGTTATACTGCGGCTTACAGGATTGGATACTGAGGGACAAAGGACTTCTTAATACCGTTGGGTTATACTGCGGCTTACAGGATTGGATACTGAGGGACAAAGGACTTCTTATACCGTTGGGTTATACTGCGGCTTACAGGATTGGATACTGAGGGACAAAGGACTTCTTATACCGTTGGGTTATACTGCGGCTTACAGGATTGGATGCTGAGGGACAAAGGACTTCTTATACCGTTGGGTTATACTGCGGCTTACAGGATTGGATACTGAGGGACAAAGGACTTCTTATACCGTTGGGTTATACTGCGGCTTACAGGATTGGATACTGAGGGACAAAGGACTTCTTATACCGTTGGGTTATACTGCGGCTTACAGGATTGGATACTGAGGGACAAACGGACTTCTAATACCGTTGGGTTATACTGCGCTTACAGGATTGGATACTGAGGGACAAAGGACTTCTTATACCGTTGGGTTATACTGCGGCTTACAGGATTGGATACTGAGGGACAAAGGACTTCTAATACCGTTGGGTTATACTGCAACAGGATTGGATGCTGGCAAACAGAACATAAGCCAGCCTCCAGTATAAACGCTCCTCTAACAGTCAGAGAAGAGTGGAGCCTGGGCCCCTCAATGGAGCCAAGACAGAGATTTTACAGTAGGTACAAAATCTCATTTTATTTTTTTCGTGTCTATTGAGGGAGAGGCAACCGTAAAATATTGGGACATCTAAAAGCAGTTCAGCTGAGGGGTGGGCAAGAACCACTAAAATGTCCAAAAAGATCTTGAAACTTGGTAAATGTGGGAAGAAGGCCCAGCTAAATGGGGAACACCACCAAGAAGGCATGGCAGGAGGGTCTATGTGGCGTTCCAGACCAGAACTGCTAGACATGGTGTGGGAAGTCGCATCGGGTGGCAGAGCTTTTATAAAGCACACAGCAACTCGCCTTCTTTTTAAGGGCCATTTTAGGCCACTTTTATTCCATAAATCCAAAGCAAACAATTGCCCTCACAGGGCTTTCAGTGTCATTCTTCCAAAACCCACTTTTAGCCTCTTGGCTTATACATACAATCCTCCTCTGGCCTTCCACTTCAGGCTTACATCTGTCTCCTGCGCAGGGGCGGACTGATAACTCATGGGGCCCCCGGGCAATAGGGGATCATGGGGCCCCTGTGTCCTTGCCCAAACTCAAAAAAAGACTATGAAAAAGGTACCAGGGGCATCTCATGGGGCCCCCTACTGACCCCGGGCTCTCGGGCAGTGCCCGAGTTTCCAAATGGTCAGTCTGCCCCTGCTCCAGCGGACTCCTTCCAAAATGGCTTTTCGCACACAGTTAGCCACTAACGCACAGCTACTCTGGCTTCCACCTCCCCTTGGTGAAGCCCTCCTGACTCCTGGGCAACGGCCTCCTGTCTACCGGGGTGGAACCCAGAACCCTGGTCCTGATTCTAAAAGAGAGCCATGCACACCTGACCAATCAGTCTCCTGGCCATTCTCAAAACCTGGTCCCAGGACTGGAGATTTCATCCCTCCCAAATCACTTTGAAATCTCCAGGTTCCAGGTCCCAAAATGGACCTTACCAACAAATGAGAAAACTGAAAAGACATTTTCCTCTGTATTAAACAAGTACCTTGGAGCCCCTCAACCTGCCTTGTTGAGAATCCTGGGGGAAATATCCATTTTATATCATGACAGATGGCCACACTGTCACAATGGACAGAACACTTCCCGAAGAACCTTGAGTCTGGACCAGCTGGGACTGAGAGAGTTCAACAACAATCCATCAAATGGACAAACCAACCCAAAACCTGAGAATGAAAATTAGATCAACAGCAAGTGAGGTCAACCAAACAGACCAAAGGGACAACACCCAAAACAGATCCATTAAGAAAACCAAATGGTCAGCAAGTCTGGGGAAATGACTGATCCATCTGAGAAAAGACCCAAGCCATAAAAGACCCAAGCCATAAAAGACCCAAGCCATAGAAGACCCCAAAGCCATAGAAGACCCAAGCCATAGAAGACCCAAGCCATAGAAGACCCAAGCCATAGAAGACCCAAGCCATAAAAGACCCAAGCCATAGAAGACCCAAGCCATAGAAGACCCAAGCCATAAAAAGACCCAAGCCATAAAAGACCCAAGCCATAAAAGACCCAAGCCATAAAAGACCCAAGCCATAAAAGACCCAAGCCATAGAAGACCCAAGCCATAGAAGACCCAAGCCATAGAAGACCCAAGCCATAAAAGACCCAAGCCATAGAAGACCCAAGCCATAAAAGACCCAAGCCATAAAAGACCCAAGCCATAAAAGACCCAAGCCATAAAAGACCCAAGCCATAGAAGACCCAAGCCATAGAAGACCCAAGCCATAGAAGACCCAAGCCATAAAAGACCCAAGCCATAAAAGACCCAAGCCATAGAAGACCCAAGCCATAGAAGACCCAAGCCATAGAAGACCCAAGCCATAGAAGACCCAAGCCATAAAAGACCCAAGCCATAGAAGACCCAAGCCATAAAAGACCCAAGCCATAAAAGACCCAAGCCATAAAAGACCCAAGCCATAAAAGACCCAAGCCATAAAAGACCCAAGCCATAAAAGACCCAAGCCATAAAAGACCCAAGCCATAAAAGACCCAAGCCATAAAAGACCCAAGCCATAGAAGACCCAAGCCATAAAAAAGACCCAAGCCATAAAGACCCAAGCCATAAAAGACCCAAGCCATAGAAGACCCAAGCCATAGAAGACCCAAGCCATAGAAGACCCAAGCCATAAAACTCGAATTTCAAACATTAGGAAAGAAAACAAAAGTAAAGCTTCCTAGCCAGACAACCAAATTCCAACTGAGACAACACAACTGAGATCAGATATGGGGAGCCCCAACATTCAGCCCGAGTTCTAAGATATAGAGTGCCTAAGGAATACCCCCAGGATGGGTTGGAAGCAGGGGTGGACTGACAACTCATGGGGCCCCGGGCAATAGGGGATCATGGTGCCTCGGTGTCCTCGCCCACACCCAAAAAAGCCTAAGAAAAAGCCAATGAAAGGTACCAGGGGCATCTCATGGGGCCCCCTAATTACCCCAGGCAGTGCCCGAGTGCCCAAATGGTCAGTCTGCCCCTGGTTGGAAGAGAAGAGTCACCTCAAGGTAGAGGATGAGGGCACCAGCTGATCAAGTGACAAGATCTATAATTAGTTCCGGGAAGACAAAGGAACCTCCACTCCAAATGATGGACCTACAGAGCTGTGAAGTATTCGTCTCATTCCTGAGTTTTGTGCATATTTGTCCCACTTAAATGATTCAGATCATCAAACAAATGTTATTATCACCCATATAACCCGAGGAATACAGAATGCAGTTCATAAATGATGATTTCATGTACTAACAGAAAAAAGCCGTCCAAACCTGCCCGGCCCTGTGTGAAAAAGTAATTGCCCCCTAAACCTAATAACTGGTTGTGCCGCCCTTGGTGGCAACAACTGCAATCAAATCGTTCACATCGCTGTGGAGGAATTCTGGCCGACTCTGCAAAATTGTTTTAATTCAGCCACATTGGAGGGTTTTCCAGCATGAACAGCCTGTCTAAGGTCATCCAAAAGCATCTCAATTGGATTTTGGAGGCCAGTGGAGGGATTGGCAGAGAGGGGTGGAGGACACTGAATGGAGGTCAGTGGAGGGATTGGCAGAGAGGGGTGGAGGACACTGAGTGGAGGCCAGTGGAGGGATTGGCAGAGAGGGGTGGAGGACACTGAGTGGAGGCCAGTGGAGGGATTGGCAGAGAGGGGTGGAGGACACTAAATGGAGGCCAGTGGAGGGATTGGCAGAGAGGGGTGGAGGACACTGAATGGAGGCCAGTGGAGGGATTGGCAGAGAGGGGTGGAGGACACTGAATGGAGGCCAGTGGAGGGATTGGCAGAGATGGGTGGAGGACACTGAATGGAGGCCAGTGGAGGGATTGGCAGAGATGGGTGGAGGACACTGAATGGAGGCCAGTGGAGGGATTGGCAGAGATGGGTGGCAGGCACAGAACCCCACAGATTGGTGGAGGACACTGAATGGAGGCCAGTGGAGGGATTGGCAGAGAGGGGGTGGCAGGCACAGAACGGTTAATAAAGTGGAGGAGTCTGGCCGCATCATTCATGATGGACTGAAGAGGGGATAGCCTGCGATGAGGTCGGCCAATGAGGAGGGAGTTACAATAGTCAAGGTGGGAGATCTTAGAGCTGCAATATTGTCTAATAAACGTCGAGGGAAGACCTGGACTGACCATTGCTGGATGAAGGCCTCCATTGTCTTCATCACCCTTTGCTGGGTTCTGGGTGGATCATTTTCGTCTGGAAGGACCCAACAGTGACTCACCGTCACACGACGCCAGAGGTCCAGGCTAGACGCTACCTGTCTCCATAGCCGACACACCTGAGAGAGCCTGAGGATACAGGGAGATAGGAGATGAGGAGGATGACACCCGGGATGAGGAGGCTGACACACGGGACACACCCGCCATCTTGTGTCCTCACCTGCACAGAGCGGGCACCGCACCCTCACTGTCCGCCAGGACCTGGAAGACCCGATGTAAGATCTCCACCGGGATGACCGAGCCCCAGCCAAAGTCAGTGGTGACAGCTTCCTTGTCCTCCACACAGCCTCTCTTCTGCACACCGGCCGTTTCATCCAGGTCGTGGTTGCTGCAGTCCAGGGGCACCATGCCCTTGTCTGTGTGGTCGATGGAACAGGAAGGTGCCATATTTTGGGATCGCTGCCTGTTCCTGGAGCGTTTTTTGGGGCGACCACGCTGTGCAGAACGCTTCCTGCGGGAAGATGACATCTACAAGGAAGAGATAATAACAATAATAATAATATATTACATCTGAGAGGAGGAGATGATAATAAGAACAGAATGTCTGTAATTCCCTTCCTTGGAGCCCATTGAGGGCCACAGGAAGTCATATAGTGTTGGGATCTTCTGCTGTCTACAGGATTCCACAATGTCCAACCAACCAATGATGGTCCAGCCCAGGATGACTCCTCCTGCTACAGCATGGCTCAGTTTTGTTGAAGAGCAGTACGGAGAGCATGGATATAAACTCCGAGGGTGGGACTTTGACCCTCCATGGACTACAAGATAAACATTCTACGATAGGGACAGAAATCCTCATTTCTATCTCATCTAAGAACGTCAGATCCTGTCTGTAGGCCCAAAGCAGCCCAACTGAGAACTGGGCAACACGGCAAACACATCAACAGGCCCACAAAAACCCCCAGAACTGGGGACCACCTGCAGCTCAACAGCAGAACTTCCCCCAAAACAACCTCATAAAAGGAACGTTCTTTACAAGGACCACACGTTCCACATGAATGAGCCACAAACTGCCTCCAGCATTCTGCATGTTTCTTCTTCCTGGTGGCGGCCATTTTGCTGAAGCCCAGAGCCCCTGAGCAGCAGTAAATATTTAGGGGCTGGATTTTAACCCCTTCAATACCGGGCACTTTCCCCCCCCTTCCAGTCCGGACACTTTCACCCCCCTTCCAGTCCGGACACTTTCACCCCCTTCCAGTCCGGACACTTTCACCCCTTCCAGTCCGGACACTTTCCCCCCCCTTCCAGTCCGGACACTCTCCCCCCTTCCAGTCCGGACACTTTCCCCCCTTCCAGTCTGGACACTTTCACCCCCTTCCAGTCCGGACACTTCACCCCCTTCCAGTCCGGACACTTTCCCCCCTTCCAGTCTGGACACTTTCCCCCCCTTCCTCCCAGTCTGGACACTTTCCCCCCCTTCCAGTCTGGACACTTTCCCCCCTTCCAGTCTGGACACTTTCCCCCCCTTACCAGTCCGGACACTTCCACCCCCTTCCAGTCCGGACACTTTCCCCCTTCCAGTCCGGACACTTTCCCCCCCCTTCCAGTCCGGACACTTTCCCCCCCTTCCAGTCCAGACACTTTCACCCCTTCCAGTCCGGACACTTTCCCCCCCCCTTCCAGTACGGACACTTTCCCCCCCTTCGCTAGTCCGGACACTTCCCCCCCCCCTTCCAGTCCCCGGACACTTTTCCCCCCCCCCTTCCAGTCCGGACACTTTCCCCTACTTTCCCCCCCTTTACCAGTCCGGACACTTTCCCCCCTTCCAGTCCGGACAGTTTCCCCCCCTTCCAGTCCGGACATGAG